GCGGAGCGAGGCCGCCCGGGTCAGAGTCCGGCTGTTGGCGGGCGCGTGGTCGGGCTCCTCGCCCAGGCAGGTGGGCGGCAGCACGGCCGAGTTCTTCAGGATCTCCACGATGTCCTGCAGCTGCTCCGTGACGTGGTGCTGCAGCAGGCGGGAGGCCACCACGGCGGCCCCGGACCCCGCATGACCGTCGAACAGCGACCAGTAGTGGCAGGACATGCCTTCTGATTCCTGCGGGGAGAGGGTGGCAGGGAGGAGTGAGAACCCCAGTGGCCACGGCCCCAGGGGGAGGGGACGCCTCCAGGGCTCCCGGCACCCCCCCTGACGGTCCGTCTCGGGCCTGCAAACAAGGAGGGTCAAAACAGGGCAAAACACTCAGGGAAGGGTCCCCGGATCCGGCACTACTGTCACCATCACCCAAGGGATAAAGCGGTCCCTGCCTGTCCACCCAGGGGAGGAGCCCAGGTCACCATCTGCTCAGTTACTACTTGGGTCCAGATCTACTTTCATGCGATGTATAGAAGTTAGAGGTTACAGCTCCATACAAACAGGTAAAGTCTGTACAATTTCAACATCTAACTCCTCACCTCCTTTCTACTGCAGCCCCAGAGGAGGTTTGGCCTGGAGTCTTTGGAGGAAGTTTGGCCCTTTTTGCAGGCTTTTCAAGGAGAAATAAGTAGACCCATTCCCCTCCCCCTCCCCCTGGGCTTTACGCTCTCAGATAATTGCCCCATCTGCCTACGTCTACATCCTGAATTTTTAGAGCATGTTTCCCCCTTAGACACCCAGTCTAGTCCAGCCTTTAAAGATGCAAGCAATTCAAATCTCTTCGTATTTCCTACTTCCCTCAGTTTCCCAGCTGTCACTCAGCATCTTGGCTTCCTCTTCCTGCCCTAAAGCTACGTGCAGCCCCTGTTCCTTCATCTGCCATGGATTTGGTACCTGCTGCTTGATTTTTGAGACTGTTTCAAGATAAACACTTTTAAAAAACCGTGATTGCATCACACATGCCTAAGATCTTATTAGCTATGGGGGGAAAAAGGAGCTCAATTATGGTGCATCTGGAGGAGCAAGGTATTAAACACTGAGATTAAGTATGTATGGCGCATGTAACACCCACTCCTGACTCTGCAGCAATAAATGCTGAATTCTTTTTCTCGTTGAAGCCATTAAAGTTCTTTTGGTCTATTTTTTTATTGAAATAGATTTGACCTTTAACATTGTGTAAATTTCAGGTGCACCACATGTTGATTTGATATATTCATATATTGTAATACAGTTGCCATCAGAGCAGGAGTTAACATCTCAATCACTTCACATAACTATTTGTTAGAATAATTAAGATCTAAATGTTTTTTGATTATTATAATACAATATTATTGTCTACTGTTCACTATATGGTGCATTAGATCTCTAGGACTGACTTACCACTTGTTGCAAGTTTGTACCTGTACCCAATATCTCTCCTATCGCCCCACCCTCCAGTCCCTGGTAACCACCATTCTTGATCCATCTTAGAATGATGCTGGAAGATACTGTATAGTTACGGTGACATATACCAGTACTCTATTTGTGCCCTTTAAAACTTGTTTTTATTGGATTCTGTGCTAGATGCTTAGAGATTATATATATAGGTCAACAGGTATTTACTGAGCACTCTTTCTGTGACAGGCACAAAAGTAGGCAGTGGGGCTATCAGACTAGATGAAAGCAGTATCAGACATGATCTGATCTTAAGAATTCAGTGGGGGAGTTAGACAGTGATCAAATAATCACACAGATAAACGTAAGATCGTAATTCTGGTGAGGGTGATGAGGAGACATGCTTGATGATGTGAGGCCAGCAGGGGGCATACTAGAGGAGGCTTTCTGTAGCTGTAAGGATCAGGCTGAGGGCAGCTTGGAAGTTCACAAGATTAGGAGGGGAGAGGAGAGCAGCAACAGCAGGGGCAAAGGCCCTGTGGTAGAAGGTGTGCGATGAGCATGAGACTGAACCACGGCCACATGGCTGAATAGGGGAGTGAGGCAGGGAGGGAGAGGGGTGAGATGACGCTGGAGACTGAGATAGTACCTGGATTACTCAGTCTTTCCAGGACACATGAAGGATCTTAGCTTTAGCTAAGAGTAACAACAAGCCATTGACTGAGGAGGGAGTGACAAAATTGATTTCTATTTTTAAAGGATCATTCAAGCTACCCTGTGAGGATTAGGAGAGAAGGAAGACTGAAAATGAGAATACCAGATGGGAGGTAAATACCACCTTAAAAAGACACTCAGTCTAATCCTGCCAGGAAGAAACTTCTGAGTGACTAAAAGCGCCATCAAGTGAAGGAGTAAGCACGCTAACTCAGAGGAAAGTTAAGTGGAAAGAACAGCAACCCGAGGATTAGAAGAACTGGATTCAAATGGCCTCTCCAACACCACTCAAATGGGAATGAACCTGAACCCCGAGGAAAAGGTTCTTAATTTAGGGCATCTGTGGATAGAATTTGGGAAGTCCATGAATCCATCTTTACTTTCACAGACCTCTAACATTGCCCATTTCCGCCTACTGTGAACGTGGGGCATCACATCACCGCAGTATTAGTGGCATCTGTGACTTGGCCACCAAAAGAAATAGTAACACATGGTCCACCCACACATCTTGAATTATTGTTTATACCCATCACTACTTTGCAATGATTATTAAACCCACCGCTCACTCTCGCTACTTGCTGCGTCAGTAAAGTACACACCACCATATTACACCCCCACAACTAGGGAAAAGTGGCAAAAGGAAAGGATTTCTTGCTCATCACATCTAACTCCCCAAAGGGTCCAAGGCCACCTGAGTGAAACACATGCACAAGGTCCTTCTACATCCAGTGAACACCCAGCGAACGTCTCTGAGGATGCCGCAGCAGGGCAGGCGAGGGATGGGGCAGGAGCAGTTGAGTCAGTGTCTGGGCACAGATTCTGTTACATCAAACTTTACCATGTTTCCAGAGTCATGATTTGAACCAAAGAAGATCAAGCCCCAAGAAATAAGAAGCCACACTGCCAGGGAATGCTACATTTAAAAAAAGCAACTCTGAAATTTTTCTAGCAAGTAATCCAACCATTTCCTTCAACAAGGCAAAGCTTTCTGCAGTTACCACAACCGCCACCAGCTGACAAAACACCTGGGGAATTTTCAAAGTCACGAGGAAACTTGGTTGGAGGACTTTTGACGTGGGGCTCAGAGGGGCTCCACATTCTCCTGAGAACACCTCTGCACAGCGGTGCCAGAAGGTGGTACAGTGGATTTTTAAATGTAATGAAGAATTTTCACAGCTAAAACTTGTAAGACATCATTTTTCCACGAAGAAAGGGTAGACTGAATAAATCTACCACTGGTTGATGCAGGGCCCAAGCCCAGAGCAATGACGTCAGTGTCTCCAAAGGTGGGTCCCACTATTCGTCTTTTTTAAAGCTTCCAAGGGGGTTCTAATGAGCAGCCACAGATGTGAACCCCGGTCTAATGGAAGGGGGGCAGCTGAGCAATCAGGCCAGCGTTCTAGTCCCCAGTCTGCCATCAGTTCACCATATGACCTTGGATGAACCACATGCATCTCCCTGAACTGATCAGACCACTGGTGTCTAAATTGCGTTCCTTGGTTTCCTCAGAGAAGTGGGTGTCAAAGTGATGAGTCCTTCTGACTTTTTCCAACCAGAGCAGCATTTTTATCAGTTATAAACAACAAGGTTTTGTAAGAGATTTTGGACAAAAGGATTCGATTGCTTAAAATGTTGAAAGCCTTTGAACTAGATAAAATCAAGCTCATCAAGAGATTTCATAGCCTCCAGCGTCCTCCCATGGCAGGCAACTTCCAGCGAGGGACACGCTGTGGGGAGAGGACCACAAAGTGGGCGCGCATCACGTGCTCAGAGTCCAGCTCAGCTTTCAATGTCCAGGGGACCACAAAGGCACAGACACACCAGTCACGGGTCCAGAGCCCCCTTCCCTTTATTTAACAAACCGTACATAGCGGGTGAAGTTCTAAATGCTTTACAAACATTAGCTCATTTAATCCTGACTACAATCCTATGAGGTGTGGTTACTAACCCCATTTCATAGGAGGACAATGAGGGACAGAGTGTTAACTGCTTCAGGTCACCATGCCTTCAGTGATGCACCTGCGACCAGAGTCCACTCTGTAAGCCACCAGCCCCGACGACGGTAGGCTGAACGCCCCACCCCACACTCCTCTGCACACCACCCGCCCGTCTTTCACACTATTCTTAACTGTCAGCCCTCCTGGGGCTCCCACTACACCTGCACCCACCCTGCTGCTGCACTCATCGTGTTGCGCGTGCCTGCCTGCTCACCTGCTCGGGCAACGGGGGAGTAAAGAAAGAATGATCTGGGATGAAAAGGGAGCAACTCATAGGCAACGCGGGTGAAAAGAGGGCTATACATACATATATGGAGGCCCATGTGGACAGTGGCCTGACTAAGGCCGACCTTGAGGGCTAGGTCAGGTCGGGGTGTGGCAGACCAGGAGCCTCAGTGCGCTGCCTTGGGGCCTCAGGAGTGATGAGATGCCCGTGCCCCGGGAGCCTTGGAAGCTGGGCTGAGGAAGCGCTAATCCCGGGCGTCCTGCAGGTGCACCGTGAGAAGGAAGGACCAGAACTGAAGGGGCCTGTCCTGTCACAGAGGTCTGTCCTGAGACAGAGGGCCCAGGTCATCAGGGTGGAACCACTGCGCCTGGAGAGATGAATGGCCTCATGAAACATTTCGAGAAACAACACGAGACTGGAGTGGGTGCTACAGTGTTTGAAATGGGACCAAGACCTTAACTGAGAATCAAAATCTGCTTTTGAAAGTGGCGTGACCAAACAGGACGTGCCCTGCATTCATTCTGAAACAGACACGAGGACCCGCTCCCACACTCTTCTCTACTCAAGACGGTGTCATCAGCTGCTGTCAGGTAAGAGTGTGTGGTTTGACACATGAAGTCTGATTCGAGAACCTCGAGGAACGAATAGCTCCTCGGTGTCATACAGCATCGAGGGACCATATCAACATCAGGGGTCTAAGCTGGGAACAGGGCAACTGGGGGTGGACCTGTGAACCCACGAGAGGCCTGAAAAATCCCAAGTTCTATGAACACAGTGCTTTCAAAGCATCTCAAACCTGATGTCGTTGCAGATACACCCGTATTCCATCACTGCATAGACTCTTCAATGGCTCCCCACTGCCCTTAAAACAC